ATATATATATATATATATATATATATATATATATATATATATATATGTAGCAACAATCACGTAACAATTTTTGAATTGTCTGTAATCAACAGAAACGAATCTATACGTTATAAAGACATTTTTATTGTATACATGTTACATATTTGTTGTGCAAAAAATATATGACATAACTGATAAGAATATTTTCAACATTTTCTGTTAATTGTGGATAATTGAACAGAATTATTATGTGATTGTTGCTATCAGAAATAATAACTCGCGGAAACCCGCGCGTGTTCTCCCCACATTGCTTTTCTAATTATTTAAAATCGGTACGTTCCATACTAAAAGTAACTGTATCTGCGGGTGACAGTTCAATTTAAATTCGCATCTAGTCACATTAATTTGCTTCGTTTTGCATATACGCGTTTTGCGAAGGGATTTTAAATAAAAGTGGCACTATTGCGCAACAATTTACCGCTTTGAGGCCGGCGTTCAACACGCGTCAAGGGAACTTAGTAGGCCCATCATCTTACCTTGTGGAAGAGCGCGACTGTATCGAGAACGGAATTCGTGTCGTGCACGGGGTTCTCTGGTTTGTTCAAGGGGCTTCTCGAACTCCATCCTAACGGCGCCTCCGTGTTACTCTCGATGGTGATCCTTGCAGTCGGCGCAGACGAAGGCACGTGTTCAAGAGGTTCGCTCTCCTTAACGCTACCACGTGGCGACTCGCGATTTTCCCTGAACTCGGGCTGAGGCTGGAACATGCCGTCGACGGATATTCCTCAAAAACTTTGATCGTGATTTTTGCCAAGCGGAGTTTATCTCGCACATGGCGTCCTGTGCGACAAGGGTGAGGCCGCCATATTTCTTATGAGAAATATATTAGCGTTTAAAGTTTGAAAAAGAAAGGCTAGCTCATCATTGGGACACATAAATACAGAAAATGACGAAACTTCACTAAATTCTAAGCCATAAAGTATGCGACCGAATGTGCCTATAAACATTTCATTCTTTTCCCGAAAACTTTGAATATTCTAATTAATATATTGGTTTGAAGCTTATGCCGCGAGTAGATTAAGAATATTAAGTCTCGATATTGTTCTTGTAATCTAGTTTGGGAGGTAAACAGTTCAAAAAGTTGCAATCTCAACAAACAGCCATACTAGCAACAGTTAGTTTATTTCCCAAACGAGAATAATATTGATATTTTACGTTCTTAATCTACTCATCCTAAGCTTTAAATTGATGTATTATTTATTGGAATATTCAAGATTTCACAAAATCCCATGGAAAAGAGGTGAAATTTGGCTACACTTTTTACTTGAACTAACTAAGCTATAAATCTTCAGCTATCTCAATAAAGGAATTTCCTTTTGAAGATTTCGCTAATGTACATATAAAATATACATTAGCATTGTGTATTTATTAGCAATGAATGGTTAGTTTACTCTTATTACACGGGACGCCTCGTACGATGAAAAGCTACATCGCGATAACGATAGCGATTATGCAAAAAGCGAATCAGTGAAATTTCAGCAGGCATCAAGATTAAAAACGTGCTCAAATTTGCCTGGTTGTCTCTAAAGTCTTTCTTTGAATGAATATGCCATGCTCTAAGCAAACATACCTCAGCCGCAACATGTTGCTCTAACGAATACACGTGTGCACGCCGGAAAGGAAAAATAAACATTGTCATGGCTTGAAATTACAACACAGAGGTGTACAAAATTACCCTATGGTTTCACACGACGTTCGTCCGTGAACGTAAACAAGTATCTCGCGACAAATATACATATAAGGAAGGAAACGAGTGCGCAGGTTTATCAGAACGTTTGTTATCGTGGCATGCATGCACAGCCGAGAACGTGCTATGCGGGGGATTACGTCGGCGCACGCGAATGGAATGAAATAAAGGAAATATGACGAATTACGGCGCAATCGACGCATGTAAATTAATCCGTTGCCGATGAAATAACATCCGATTCGGATCGCGGAGATTCTGGGAAGCTCGTCTCTCGCTACGCCGCGTTTTATGTTTTATGTGTGAGCACACAACGAGGGGAACGTCGCTTATTTTGAGGATGTAGACTCGATAATCTCGGTAACGAAGCTCTCTTTGTGTCGCCGAAGAAGAGAGTGGGACTTTCGCAACAACGGAGATCGATAGTTTACGGTTTCTTCTCGAGATGCACCCTCGAAATGTCGCGTGTTCGTCAACAGTATTGGGTGGCCCTTTAGGTCTCGACGAGTGCTAACATATAAAGTGCCTTTTCAAAAGTGTAAATCTCTTGACAATCTTGTAAACGTGAGTGGCACGACAGAGAAAGAGAGAGAGGGAGAGAGAGAGAGAAAGGTTGGCGACTAGTCTTACCTTTAGTGGAGTTTCTCGACTGAAAATGCAGTTTACCGACAAAATTAACGAATTTAATTCCATTCAAGTTTTTTCACGTGGAAATATTCTCGTGTACTATAATTTAAACGAAGACGGAAGTATATTCTCAGATATTATTATATAGAATTATTATTATACAGAATTGCTTCTACCATTATTCCTCTTAATGGATTGAGATTCTTAAATCTACTACAAATAATATACATGGACACACATTTCTACACGGAGAAAATGATTGTAGTAAAAATTACGGTAAGAAATTATATTTCTTTCTAAAATATTTCTTGAAAAACTGGTTATTATATTAAAATTATAATATAAAAATCATTATATTTATATATTATAAAAAATATATATGATCTTTTTTTAATAAAATCCTCTTATATATAGCCTTGAGAAGATTTTTTTATAATTAAAAGGAAAATAATTGTGACACTTAAAAAGAACTCAGCTCTTGCAAGCTGCTGTTTATGCATTAAAAATATAATAAAATTGAGGAGAATTTATCAAGAAAAAAATTAGAATATTCTTTCCGTGTAGCAAAATTTGCTATATTCCTTAACAAGATAGAAAGAGATCTTATTGAGAGGTTATTTCTGCACTGCTAGAAACATAATAAAATTAGTAAAAATAGCGAAATTGAAAAGAATTTACATAAAAAGAAATATATATATATATTTTTTTTCCGTGTAGTAATTTCGGTGAAGAATATTTCTCTACAGTCCAAGATTACAAAAATTTCCTTGTAATTGTTGTTACAGTATTTTCTCTGTGTATCTCTGTGAGCGCATTTGCCGATTCGCGAGTTCGTTTCTCCGTGCAGCGCACGGAGGCTTTCCGCAGCGGAGGAGGCTTTCTGCAGCGGCGAGAACCTTAGTGCGGCTTACGATTAACCGCTGCCCGATAACCCTAATATATTGTACGGATATATCGAAGTGATCGTTCCTCGACGCCGCGTCACAAGGTAATGCTGTTTCGCCGCGCTAGCCGCTAATCGATCCGCCGTCGAACAGCATCGCCGCTAAGTCGCGCGATCCAAATTGCAAACGTGCCGAAACCCGCGGGAGCATTGCTGCCAGTAGGATAATCCGGCTACATCACGATCACCTTGTGACTATGTGTGTGTGTGTGTGTTCACGGGGAAGAGAATATATTCGATATTAATTCGATTCCCTCGTGCGCGCAAACGGAGAAACGGAGATGCCGTACGTTACTCGTTCGTCCGTTTCCGATCGAGAATCGATTCGCCTCGCAGCCCCGTCAGCGCATCAGAGAGCCTGGCCAAACGTGAGGATCATCGTCTGAAGTGGTACTCGGAATTAGAAGCGCTTTCGTGGCGATTTTTGAACATTACGTCTTTCCCTCGTCGCTCGCGAGTAACGAGTCGCTCGATGTTCGATGACGCGCGACACTTCATTTTATATTGGTCCTTTGAATACACTTCTCACGTGTGTCCACACGTGTTTACGTGTTTGCCGAGACACGAGCGACATGCAGGCGACAGTGAACGCGACGTAAAGTCGCCTCGAAGATACGAGACTGCAAGAGTTCAAGCTAAACGGTTGAAGCGGAGGTCACCTCTGGCTCTAATAATTAGTTTCTTATTAGAGGAAAGGTCGGCTTTAAAAGAGACGTTAATTCAGCGTTTGGCTTGTGTTGGAGTAAGCAACTCCATCGTTACATCTTGTTCTTTCGTACGCGGGTCTCGGATTCTCTTGAAGAATGTTTCCACTCGCATATAAGTTGGTCCCTAAGGGTATTTCACCCTACAGTTTGTGCTTAGCTCTCGACAAAATATTACTGTTTGCCGGGCCGTGCAAATGGAGGGTGCAGAGAGTGCGTTGCATGCGGGTCCCCAGTATCAAAGGACTCCGGCACAATCATCAATAGCGCAAAAACGATTAAATACTTGTGCAGTTTTACGAATTGCGAATGAAATAGCTCAAGACTGTGATTTTATTTCTTTAGTTAACAATTGAATAAAAAAAGCTTTTAATTTATCATAGAATTGTAAAATTTTAATTATCTCTTATAATTTTAATGTGTTATCTATTTCTATTTTTATATTTTCAAAGTAAATTTATAAATAAATGTTCTAAGCTGGTAACATTTTTTAATATTCTTTTTTGATACAAAATTCGGGAACAGATAAAAAGCTCCCTCCTTACATCAGCACACGAAAGCTTTTTACACGGCCCTGACCGTTTGTTGTTTCTTTTCTTTTTCTCTCTCTCCCTCTTAACGTTATCCGCGAATAATGATGCGGACAGAAAGTATGCCAACCGGGACATTGTAACATCTGGTCCTTTAAAGATTAAAACCGGAGAGTACTCGCGGCGGACGTGACGTCGGACGAATGAGGCGACTTTCGTGGTGTCTGTTGCTCAACCTTGTTACCCCTTCGCAGAGGTGTACACCGCAGGTCGTACGTGCCGATGGGGCGACCGACACCCTGGGATAACAGAGCGACGCACACTGGTTTGGCGCACCGATGTCGATTTGGAATTTTATCTGTAAACCGCGACGTTCGTCATGGATACATTCTTTTAGAAGATTATCTTCTACGAAGAGATCAAGAGAGAGAGAAAGAGAAGGAGAGTAATAAACAATGTTATGTCAACAGCCGCTTGGTCTTCGATTTTTGGAGCGAAGCATGTTGTTTGCTTTGTTTCTATAATGTCAATTGATATAGAATTTTAGAGCTGAAACTCAATTAGTTCAGCAATATGCAAATATCCGAATGATAGATTTGCTGGGCTTCTTCTTGCGCTTCAAGAATCGCACGTTGTAATCTTAAGTAATCTGAAATATCCCGAGCCGAAATTTGGATCGTACTTTCGAGCTCAATATTCCATTTAACGCTTACTTTGGTACTCTGGAAACTACATCAGCCTCTTCTGATTCTACTTAACCGTACTAACTTTGCCGAGGCGACCTCTTTAAAACTTACAAATAGCATTTTGTGCGTTTTTGCCACTTACAAGTAAACTTACCCAAAAGTTACACACTGATTTCTTTCTAATTTGACACAAATGTAGAAGTATAAAACATATTTAGATCATATTTTTTCCTTTTCGCCCACTTTTGAGTTTCATGGGTAGTTTATGGCTTTTTCATGTTCTCACTCCTATCACCAACAAATGCAACAAAAATGCATAAGAAATAAAATTGAATACAAAATATAGGCGTTTTTAGTTTGCTGATTATAAATATTAAGTCAAATGTGTAAAATTATTTGTATAAATAATAAAATGTTTAAACAAAACATATAAAAAGTTGAAAAAAATTATTTATACAAATAATTTCTCGATTTGGCTAAGATTCGGATTTTTGACTAATTTAGTGCAGACTTGAAATATTTCGGTTAGAATCTCGGCTAAAGCAATTTAGTATGTTTCATGTCTTAGCTATGCCGATTTTGTTAAAATTTTAATTGCCGGATTTCGGTTTGGCCGAGATTCGAACTATTTTTGACTAATTTAGCACAGACTTGAAATATTTTGGTTGAAATCTCGGCTAAAGAAATTTGGATTGATTTGTGTCTCAGCTATGTCGATTTTGTTAAAATTATTTAATTATATTTTGTATTCAGTTTTATTTCTTATGTATTTTTGTTACATTTGTTGATAATAGGAGTGAGGACATTAAAAAGTTATAACTGCCCATGAAACTCAAAGTGAGCCAAAATGAAAAAATATGACCTAAATATTTTTTGTACTTCTATATTTGTGTCAAATTAGAGAGAAATCGGAGTGTACCTTTTGGGTAGGTTTATTTGTAGAGGCACTAAGTAGAACTTTATTTTCTGTATGTATCCTTCAGTATATATAGATGATATATAGATGTTAGAAAACTCAGATATATGGCGAAAATATGGCTAAAAACTTGACTCGTGATCTTCATTGACGAATCACGCATTTCCGAGAAATTTAAAATAGTCGATTGTACATCCACACACACACACACACCCAATACACATTATGCTAAATTACTTAGAAAAGGTGCTAGATTGGTACCAATAATTCGTCATATTTGTCAAATAAAATAGAAAATAAAATTATCCAATTCCGAAGGACTAATAATTTTGTCAAGTAAAATGAACAATACGGACTCAATATTTTTTAGAAATCTAACAAGGACTTTTTATTTTCCGTTTAATATTCAAACTCCCTAATAGAAACACAACGATTCTTTTGCACCAACTTCATACAATTGAGTGTCTCGTAGATGCTTTATGTATCATCATATTCGTTTTACAATAACTTGTCATCTCATCTCGCGGCGTAAGAGTAGTTCGTCCGATTTTCCTCTCTCAGATATGAACATGCGATATTAATTGCAGGACGCATAGAGTGAAAACAAAATAGTCGTATTCAACATATGAAGTGGCTAAATGGAACGCGCGAAGGGAACATTAAATGGCGTACAGTATTCAGATACGGATGTTAAAAGGAACTAGTTCTATCTGCTCATTCGAGCAGACCTCGCAAAGTTCGGTTTACGCCGCTTGTTTACGCCATTTTCCGAAACGGGCGTCCCATGTCGCAAGCTCGCAATGCCGTCGCGCGCTCAGCACCGGGATAGAAGTCTAATTACAATCTCACGGCGCCAGACGCGTGCTTGGTTTTAACGACCGGTCGACTCCCCGAGCTTGTAGTTGGTTAAGTTTCATGGGCCACTCTTAGAACCGGTGATTTTCGTTGCGGGAGCTCGATGCGCCTCTTACCACCAAATAACGTGACGCTGTAAAGAACGGAGACGCGGCTATTCCGTCGCCCCCAATGACGATCGTTAGCGACAAGAGCAAGTAGTTTCCGCCGGCCTACAACCATCGTAGCTGCTGGAGGCCGATAGAAACCCCTTTCCTTGTCGTTTTTACAGTGGAGTGTTGCCGCCGTCGTCGCTGTTGCTCTTCGGGCGCTGCTTCTTCGTGAAAGCCCGTTCAAGAATTTCGTCGCGCAATCCTCGGCGCGATAGCACTCCAAGTAATCCCTCTTGCAGCGCGAACTCGTTTCTCCTTCACGGCCGAGGGATTAACCTGATTTCTCGCATCTGTACCGATAGTTCGATCTACCCAATTGCTCTATTAACGAGCTGTCAGATATTGCGAATTTACTGCAGACGACTCAACTTTTCCAAGAAAAAGATAGGTAGATAAATATACTGAGAGGAAAAGTTTTGCTAATTTAACAACACACCGCAACAAATGGTTTGCTGATATGGGGCAGCAAGTGACGACCCCGTAGTGGGAACAAATAATTTGTTACTTTCAATTTACTGCTCTAAGCGACGCTTCTTTAATGAAGACATAACTAGTTTAATCTAAA